TTGAGCAATCTACCAAAAGAGATGCCTCCCAGAAGGACTTTATAGGAAACTAGCACATTTTTAGGCGTTAGACACATGAAGAAAGCACTGAAAACTCAGGCGACAGCTTGTTGGTGAGAAGCAACTATCGGTGTTCAGTGGTTTTATGCACAGGACCAATGATGGCACTTTGCATATGAATTATAATAAAATCTTTCTAAAATAAAAAGTTATTGTTTCCAATTTGATATTGTTCATTCCTTTACATGCCAAATATTAATGCAATAATGATAATTCTTTCTGAGATATCTGATTTGCAATTTATTTAAAAATCAAAACATTTCATCATTACTACTGACATTTATTTCAGATCTAAACTTACTTACTCAACAAATAAAAAGTACATATTATTACTTATTCATTACAATTTTAATCCATGCATTGGAAAAATTACCTCATTCCTTAATGATGGAAAAAAAATTGATTGATCTTTAAAATAATAATCTGGTTATTATACAAGAATTTATGAGAACTAGCAATAAAATATTAATGTAATGAAATTATTTAATTTTACAAACATACAAATTTCATCAAGTTCAAATCATCCGATGTACATAAATTTCTAAACGTACAATCGTTTTTCAGCCATTTTAAAACTAAAATTCCTTAAATTTGTAAAAATAGTTGTTTTATACCATAAATGTTTTGACAAATGCAAATACCTATAGTTTATAACAACAAAAATGTAAGAGTAGATAAGAGAGCAGTTGTAGCTTTATTGAATTAATATCAATAGTATTTATCTTAAATACTATTAATTCAATAAAGCTACACCAACTGCCATATAATACTGGGTTATATATCAGCAATAATAATCATGAATTACTGATTAATTTGACCTTAGGCATTAGGTACCATCTCGTATTTTTAAATTTAATAATCATAATTTAATTAAATAATTTTAGATCTTTTCACTTTAGATTAAAGTGAAAGAAAAGAATCAGTCCAGAGCAGGACTTGAACCCGCTACTCCTGCTTGCTGTGCAGATGCATTGCCAATTATGCTACCAGGACCTCTGGTCCAATCTCCTCTTCCAGTATATTTAATTAATTATCATTACAATATAAGCAACATCAGTTACTATGGTGCCGACTGGGGATGCATTTAGCACCGTCATTCTGTAAACTCTCACACAAGGCACTCAACTGCCATTGTATACTCCAGCAAGGCATATATATACTGTATATATATACAAATATAAACATCTTATGAAACCAGATATGTTACAATAAAGTTACACCAACCGCCTTATATTATATGGCAGTTGATGTAGCTTTATTGTAATGTACTGTACAGTGGAACCTCAGTATACAACCTTAATCCGTTCCTGATGTTTGGACTTATACCGAATAGAACATATACCAAACCAACCTTTCCCATAAGAAGTAATGTAAAAATAATTAATCCGTTCTCATGTAAAAAAAAAAAACATGGCTGGCTTCAAACACCTCACTTTCCTGGCTAGTTCCTGCTTGATTTTTCACAAGATCAGCATGTATCTTTTTAGCTTTCTCGCAAATAATTGCTTCTGATACGCTGTCGCCAGCACACTGTTTTTCAGTTATCCAAAGCAAAAGCAATTTCTCAACATGATCTAATGTCTTCGATCTCTGTTTAGAAATTGATTTAACCCCTTTCGCAATGTTAGCAGATTTAATAATGTCTTTATTTTTCACGACTGTTAATATTATCGTTCTCAGAATATGGTATGCAACAGTTAAATCTCGAACACCATGCCACCTTCATATTTCTCAACAATCTCTTTCATCAGTTCCATTGTAATTCTAGTCATTTTTAGTTTTCTGTCACTTTTCATTTGCCTTTTTGCGTTTCGTGATTAATAAAAATAATAAAATTTTACTTACAAATTAAAATCAGAAGAAATTTAACAAAGTTATAAACTGTGTCACCACAAACGTCTAGTCTGGTCTAGTACACCAATAGTGCTACTTGTTCATCGATGGCCCGTATAATTGAATTAAGTCGTATATTGAACAAAAGTCGTATACTGAGCAAAATTTGTTTTGTCCAAACAGGACATATTCCAAATTTGACATATTCTAAAGCAGATGTATACCAAGGTACAGTACCACTGTATTTGGTTTTGTAAGATGTTTATATTTGTACTATCAATTTATTGGGTAATATTGTAATTATAATTGTCTTAAAAATAATTTAGCAAACTCTATTATAATTTTAAAATATTTCTAATGTTTCCAGTTTGTTTTATTTTGTAATTCACTAAAGATATTTAGATATATGAATGGGATAAATTATTTAAAATTTTATTGGTACAATTTAATTTTTGATAAAATAATAAATATGCAATGAATTAAATTCAAAAATAATGAATGTTCGTATAGACAGTTATTATAGTAATTTATGGACTTAATTTATATAAATGTAGAATTTTTAAAATATTTCAAATGTTTAATTTAAGTATAAAAACATCTTCACTGCATTCTACTACAATACAGATCAATTTAAATAAATGAAATATCATTCATTTAAACTTTCAAATATCAATGTAAGTTTCAGATATTTTAAGAATTATTTCTAGAAATGATATATCAATGCATATGTTTATTACATGTATAAAAATCCAGCAATGAATTGCTTAACTTTCCCAGCAACATTTGGTGGCACCATCTGTTATAATATGTTATTTAAAAGGCTTTTTATATTTTTAATTATTATAAAATGGCAAAAAAGCTTAATTTTGAGGCTAGGGATGTGTTTTATAAAAAATTGTAAATGCTAATAACAAGTAAAATTGTCATTAAGTCTGACTCTACATGACCCCCTTTATCTCCTCACCCCCTCAACCTTTAATCACCAAAATTTAATCTCCCTAATACACTTACTCCCTGCAAAATTTCAGAGATTTTTGACCAAAAGCACAGGAGTTATTAAGCTTCAAAGAGGGTGAACAAAAGTATTCCCTTTCCCTATTCACACACTTATTCCAGTGGTGTTTTCACTTTGCAAAGCAGTCCTGGTAAGCTTCTTTCAGAATGTCCTTCAATGTTTGCAATAAATTTGTTTTAATATCATCTTGTCAAAACAGCATCCTTTTAGCACTGATTTAATCTTGGAAACAAGAAAAAAATCACAAGGAACCAGGTCTGGTGATTGGGAAGGCTGGGGACAACAGTCATTTGATTTTTGACATAAAACTGGTGAATTGACAAGGCTGAGTAAGCAGGCACATCGTCATGGTGAGGGAAAGGAGTTGTCTCACCACAACTCTGGTCCCTTTTCGTGAATATTTTCGTGCAACTATTTCAAAACCCTGCATAGTACTGATGTTTGACTATTTGACAATGACGTAAAAATTCGAAGTGCACAACTCAATTGAAAAAAAAAAAAAAAATAGTGATCATTATCTTGACATTGGATCAAGACTGTTGTGCTCTGTTTGAGCATGGAGATCCCTTAACAACCCACCGTGATGATTGAACTTTTGTCTCATTGTTGTAACAGTAAACCCAACTATCATCAACCACTATGATCGTTTGTATGAATGTTTTGTCATCATTGGCTTGTTGAAGAAATTCCAGGCAAACAAACGTCCACTCAATCTTCAGTTCAGTTATCAAACTGATTAATGACCACTTTTGAACTGAGTAAACCATTTGTAACACTGCATATGATCTAGAGCATTGCCTCCATAAACTTGATTCAAAAGTTGAAATGTTTTCATAAAAATTTTCCCAGTTTCACACAAAACTTCACATTGCATCATTGTTCCCATAAATTGCATATTGAAATAAAATTGTTATAAACACAAACACCTTTCAATCAAAAAACAGTAACATGAGAATGAAATGGGATATCAGCAATCTAAAAAAAAGCAGCTTACTCAGTAGGTTATCACAAATGTAGTGTTATCAACCTCACAATGCTAGAGCACTCCATTTCCACCCAATTCAAAAAGTTAAGTTATTTTTTGAACAGACCCAATACAAAATTAGACATGAAATAAAATCCCAGTATCTTAAATTTTCAGGCAGAAAAATATGACCTAAAAGTTACTTCAACTTATAGAAACAGAATGCATTGAGTCTATGAGAATTTAAGAGAATTGAGTTGCAACAATTTTGAGTTAAGAAGGTAATATTTATTAAAAGTCTACTGTAATTCTAAAGTGTAATTAAGTACTGTAATTCAGAACAATTATTTTTGAAGCATTTTTTTCAAAGTAAATTAAAAGTGAATATACAACATTGAAATCATATTTTACTTGCAACTAAAATGTAACAATCTTTATGTTGAATGTTCAGTAAAAATTACAAATAAATATCTTCTCAGCTGTTAATAAAATTACATTATAATTTCATCAGAAAAAAAAAATCTCATTTCTATTTAATTCTTTGTTCATATCAATATTATGCATTATGCATATCTAATAATGCTTATCATCAATATGATTAAAATTATTTCACTTCAATCTTCATTCATCTTTTCCTAATATAATAATAAATATGATTTATATAATTATTCCTCTTACACTTAAAACTATTTCATACTATAAAAATCCTCAGTCACTGGTAATTTATTATGTGTAATCATGATTATATACTATTTATGATTAAATATATTACAATTTTGAATTTATTTAATTGAAAAATATAACTTCAATTATTAATGAATGAATTTGAATTTTATATAAAGAGAAAAAGCAAAACAATTTCTTATGAATAAACAGATTTAAATAAGTCAGATTTTATTTTGTTTTTATTAGAAAAATGTTTTTTGAGATTTGGAAAATTTTATTCTCAGTTCAATATATTCTCAATTTTTAAATGGAACACAATAACCAAAAGATGTTTATAAAATAACATAATTAATTAGTTGGAGTAATCCCTTTTATAACTCTATTGGAACAGTTGATAATTAACATTTAAGAACCAGATACTTAACATTAATTCCTTTAATGTTATTACAATTAAACACATACCCCTGCAGCTACAATACTAAGTCCAATTCCATTATTGCTTTTCTGAAGTCGAATAGTTGTTACTTCTGGTTCTGGAGGAACAGCAGAACCACGTCCACTACCTTCACCATCGCCAGTATGACTGTGGATACTTGGACTACAAGCCTGTAAGTATATTTTATATATTGATATTTTTAAAGTCTTAAGATAATTTTATTAATAATAATAAAAAATAAAAGTACCCGTGGTGGAAAATGTCCAATATCTTGATCTGACATGTATATTGTCCAATATCCTGATGAAGATGTCTGAATAGTAAGATGGCATAAACCTAAAATAAAAATTATTGAACTAATTAATAAACTTCAAAATAAGATACTTTTATAAAAATAATAATTAAAAAAAACATATTTACATTATTTGTTATTCATAATATCATCTATTGATGATAATTAAAATTTATGGTCACCACTTTTTGTACATTACCTGTCTGAACTAATGGTTGAACAAATTCTTGAAGTCCAGCAGGGACTCCTCTAACTATATCACAAGAATATCCATCTTCTGGTAGAAGGAAAGGTAGTTGAAGATCAGCATCTTCCTCTAATTTTACTTCTCTTCCATCACTTCGTGCTAGCTCATCAGCTGTATTTTCTGCAACCTATAATGTTCAAATATGAAAAAACTCTATTTTAATATAACTTTTAAATTCTAAAAATGATTAAAATTAATTCTATTAATGTTTATTTAATAAAATATACATAGTTAGTTAATCATATTTTTAATGGTTCAATAATATTAATTAAGACTATTCACTGAAATGAAAATATAATAAATAAATTAAATTCAAAAGTTGGACTTAAAAACTATTATATATCTACCTTATAACAAATTCTATTAAGGTAATTTTTATAGCAATTTCAATGAAAAAAATTCTATTTAATGAATTCTAAAATGGATGAAAAAAATTATTGTTGTTTTATAATTATAAATCTTCATGCTATATGTATAATATCACAAATCAATATTACACTTTTACTGCATATTTTTTTCCAATAAAATGTTATGTAACAAAATAAAAGTTTGTAATATCTCTGATATATCTATTTATAGAATAGAATGTTTATTAACATAATAGGCAATAGCCTGTTACAAGGGGGATGTTTATACAATTATTAGAACTTTACATAAATTAACTTTTCGATGAGCATTCGCCTTCCGTCTGTTACAATCAGGGTGGTTGGATTTCACAATTTCTTGATTATCTACACAGATTTATTTCTACATCTAATTATATTTTAACTTATACATCACATTCAGTATGTACCTTTTTACCCATTTTAAAAACACTTCAAATTTATTCATTATTCCGTATACAATATCTCAATGTTTTTACATTACATAGATCTTATTTTCGTTATTAAATTTATATTTATGATAGCTACTTTAACATAGTAGATTAATTTATTCTTATTTCTTCATTTTTTGCTTTACTAAATACTATGATCAAGTGTTTATTAATTATTAACTTTGACTGTCACTTCAAATTATCATACAGGTTACCGTAGAACCAATTATTATGTTAGGGTCTATAAATTTCTTTAGTAAGACTTTATAATTTTTTCGCAAAGACCCTATATATATATATTTTTTTTTCCAAAACCCTATTGGACAGATTTTTTTTTTTTTTTTTTTTTTTTTTTTTTT